TATATATTTATATATTATAATTATATAATATATATATGTATATATACACACAAATGTGTATAAATGTATGTGTATATATATATTATTTCAATATCAATCATAAAGACATATTTAAATATTTGATTATTTATAGAAATATTTCCTTAGTATTTATATTTGTATTGAAGTGATACAGATTTTTTATCTACATTTAACAGTATGTAATATAAATTATTATTTGAATTTTTATATTTTCTTACAAATTAAATTGTTTATTTTTGTATTTACTATATATATATATATATATACTATATTTCTATTGTATTCTTATTTCCTTTTTTATTTCATTTCACGTTCATTTAAAACTATATTTGTAGGAATTATATTTCTGGTTACTAATCGATATATAATTATCTAAATTCACATTTTTTCATTTGCTTCACTTGTAAAATAAAACTAAACATCGAGAGATATTTTTTTATAACAGACATCTCCAAGCAGCGGAACAAATTTGGATATGGTTCCTGAGATTAAATATGAAGAAGGCGAAAAGGACATAGTTGTTGCTTATGATCTACGTGCTGAAATTATCAAAGATCCACTTGGCGGAACAGTAAGAATCACATCGACGTACATATCTTTTTCACCTACGGAAGTAACGGAGGCCAACACGTTAATAGAAAAACAGTGGCGACAGCTGAAAGAAGTTTTTGTGAATCACATACGCTTAGATGTTAATCAAAAAACAGGCTTACAATTTAGAAGTTTTATATTAGAAAGTTATTATAATTGGATAGTAAAGTCACGAGGTGGAGATAGTAATGTATTAAAAGTACCTTTACGAGATAAAGTTACGTGGTTTTTAGAAGAATTAGCTGAAGTTGTACCAAATCCGTCCATTATGAAAATGGACCAATTAATGGATTATAATAAACAAAAATTGTTAAAACAATATTTATTAACAAAAATGGATATTATGGTTTTAAATATGAAAACGGTCACAACAATATTAAAAACAATGCGACCAGAAAGTTCAAATACTGAACAGTTGTTCAAGATTTTCGAAATTAATTTCACGCAAGCTGGTAATTATAAGTTTTTAACACAATTGTTACCAGGTATTTTTGACATGGAAGACGAAATTATTAGTGAGCACCTTGCCCTATTAGAGCATATTAATAAAGCCGTGCATAAGAAATACAGTGAAATTTTAGCTGATGGAGCACAAGAAAATTTAGAAAAATTAATACTAGATAAAAATTCTTATTATTATACAGTAATTGATAATTGGCAGAAAGATTTGAAAAATTTTGAAAAATTAGGTGTATCAAAGAAAGCTAAAGAGCAAGATTCTACTATTACAGAATTTATGATAGATAATAATGAAAGTAGTAAAACAGAAATAAAATCTAAAGATATTTCTAAAATGTCTAAAAGAAATGAAGATGTCAATGTAGGAAAATTTGAAGATTTCAAATACTTTATATTAACAGAAATAGAAAAAGTTGTGAAAAATTCAGAACAAGATAATATTCGAAAATATCAAGAACATGTTGATACTTCAAGAGATGCATTAGATAACACGAGTAAAGAAGCTATTAATTTAAATAAAATAATTTTAAATATTTCTTCTCAAAATCAAAGTAAAACTGATACATTAAAAAATAAAATAAAATATCAAATTGAATTTATAAAAAATAATATTGAAGATTTAACGAAAAATATAGATTCTTTGGTAGATTTTACTAAAATTACAAATTCTTTAGAAGATGTGCAATCAAATAATATAGAATTTCAAGAAACAACTATTAATAATAATAGTGCTGACAAAGAAGCACACAAAGAATCCTTGTTAAATGATGATTTCCAAGTAACAGATACACAAGCAAGTTCTTCAAATACAGAAACACTTGAAAAAGATAGAAGTAAAATGTTACAAAAAATTGAAAAAGCTGATTCGCAATATAGTCAGAAAAGTAATCTGAATATTGATCGTTTTACTCATTTAAATACGAATAATTATAAAATTATATCATCTAAGCTACCCAAAGAATATAAAAATCAAATATTGATACCTAAAACAGAAGAGAATACAAATTCTGTTAATATTAAAAAAAAACTAGAATTCAATTCATATTATAATCTGGTAGATGAAAGTAAACTGCAAAGTAGTCAAAAATATATAAATGAAGTTAAAAATAAGAAAGTCGATGTACAGAAACATAAGAGCAAACATATCGACGATGAATTATAATATTAAAGTAACACTGAACAGATTTCTAAATGCAACAAGCCTGGCAATCCTATTCACATTGCATTTGATATTTTTGCACTAAATTTGAATGTGTATGCAGTGAGCTTTAATCTTTTTATATATATGAAACCCATGTTAGGAAAAGATTAATTATCCAATAAAAAGAATGATATGAATGACTGGTCTATATCAGAATAATATTCTAAGTCTGTTAAACTGGTGCTTATGAAAGAATTCAATTTCATTTTTTATTCAAAATAAATTAGTAATATTATGGAAAAACTGTATAATATATATAAACAGCCTGCACAAGACATTTATCCTAATGAGGTTGTGACAGAATATTCTGTTAAGGCTCTAATGAATGTAAATTTTATATATACCATTTAAACATAGTATATTTCTTGTGCACACTAGAGTACAATGACAGCATATTTTTTTTTTTTGGTTTAGATAAAGAATTACATTTGCAATTATTAATATATATAATATAATAACAGTTTATTCAGTTTTGTTTTTTCATATTTCTATGCTTCAAATATGTGCCATGAATGATAATGTAAATGAATATTTTAACAAATAATGAATATACTTTTTGTCTACCATGTAGGTTTAACTTGGATTCTAAACAAGAATATAAGGAATAATTATTAGAAAATAGTTTGTAATTATAAATAATAGCATAAAACTGAATTTTTTCTAAAATATAGCAATAGTACATTGACTTTTCTAAAATACATATTATATTTTGTTAAAGAAAGAAACAAATTAAAAAATTTGACTATTTTAATATTGTTTTCAGTTGTACTTAGCAATTTGAAGGATACATTTACATATTCGTCTAAGTAATTATTATTGAAACAATTGCAATGTAAAAATTTTTATTTATTTAAATTTGTTAGTTAGTATATACCTTATATGTACATAAAACTGTACAAACAACAATGTATATATATATTATATCATACATAGCAAAGTTAATAACAATAGAGGTGGCAATAGATTAAATAGTGTTTAGTAATTTACAGTATCTTAATTTCTTTAAAACCATACATGTACACACTGTTTTCTACTTGTCACATGTTTAAAAACTATATTGCATATTCTGTAAAATAATTAAAAATTTACAATAGAATTTAGGTTTATTGTGTGCCATATAAAATGCACAAGAAATACATATGTTTTAAATCAAATCAATTTAGAATACATTGGGTCAATCTTTTAGAATGTAACTTTTATTGTAAATGTAAATATTACATAAATAAGTGTACAATAAGTCTGTGTTCTACAATTACTATGTCGAAGTTTGTATGATCAATGCCAAAATGGATATTACAAAGTTTATTGTACATTAAACTAGTTACTATTTTGCATAGACCGATAGTGTGCTATGCGCGCGCGTGTGTGTGGAGCGCGCGCATGTGTGTGCACATAACAATGTGTACACTTGCTATGCGTACATGTGTATATGCAATGTGTATTTGTGTACATGCGCGCGTATGTATACGAATGTAACGCATATGCACATATATATGGAATTTGTTTGTATTTATTATGTAGAAATGAGAAAAAAGGAGCAGCATACATATGTATATGATACAAACGTGTTAAAAAGTTTTTTGGTACAGAAATAGAAAGTGATATTAAAAAATAAAAATAAAATTATTGTTACAAATAAGAATAATTGATTATTAAAAGTGGATATTTTTCATGTAAATAGTTTTTAAATTAAATTATTAATTTCTTTCATATTAATATTTTAGTTCGTAATTTGTTCTTGATTCTTCCTAAGATTATGAAAATAATAAAAGATGAAACATTTTTCCTATTAATGAATTATAATTTCACCTTATTAAAATGAATATTTCAACTACTGTTTATTACATAATTTAAGATTGTATAAAAATTATTTTAACTGAGATTACTCATTTACATACACCTTTTGAAGAATGTTTCAATTATTTATAATTATAATATTACGTAAAAAATTATTATCTTATTATTATTACTCTATGAATAAATTTAATTAAATTAGCATATTATAAAATATAGCAATATAGCCATATAGCAATAATTAATATAGCAATTTTAAAGAATAAGTAGAGTGAATGGTGTATAACATAGACAAAGGTATGATACTCGTATAATAATATTTAAAAATTAACAATTTATAATTAATATTAGTGTACATAAAAAAAACATTTTATGATTGCAATCAAGAGTAAAATAACAGAAGCATAAACAAAAATATTTGTAGTTTTGGTTTTTAAAAACTATGATATACTTAAAGCCGCTTTTCATTGGAGTTTGCGCTTTCGATTTACGACAACCTGTCGTCAGATATTGGCTTTGCGTCAATGGTAAAGAAGCTATTTTAATTTCGAATTTTGGATGACCCTGATGTACTCTATTAAGTGTACGATATACGCTGGCATTTCGTGTCGACAAGTGAATAACGAAATAAAACGTTTTTAGAAAAAGAAAATATAATGTCGAAGGTAAGAAATTACTTTTTTGTTGCACACAAAGCAAGTAATATATATAATTACAATATGTTACTAACCATATAATTCATTTATGAATAATATTTGGCTAATTTAGGTAAAATATATTATTTTAGCTTTATATTTGGAGGAATTTAATTACATTATTTTATTTGTAAATAATTTTATTAATTTGTAAGTATATAAAATTTCTACATTTGTTTTAGATGAATGAACCACCAAAATATTATGGAAAAAGAAGAAGCATTGTTCGTAGAATTGGTTCAATGTTACCATTGAAACCACCCCCAAAAATATATGTCAGTGTTACACCTTTACATTCAATGACAAATTCTATGATTAATGAGGAAACTAGTGGTGATTATGCAGATACAAATGGATATGGGCCTGCAAGGTTTTTACATATAGTTATTGAATTCTTTTTTCATTGGTTCAAGAGTTTAATAATTTGATAATATGTTTCAATATTAGATTATCTAATGTTAGACCAGATTTATTGGAGCCTATTAGTTTTGGATCTGAAGTTCGATTACTTGCTTTAGAGCAAGAGCTTCAGGAACTTAGGGAACAAGTTTCAGCAATAGTTAAAAGTAATAAACAATCTAGATGTATGTATACATATGATAAATGTTTGTTTATTATTTATATTTCAAACTTATTTCAACTTAAGCCATGTTTAGATACCTCTACTGCTTCTTTAATAAATGGAATAGACAGTGAAAATATAATACAATCACAACCACCACCTCCACCACCACCTCCACCGTTACCACCACCAACACCACATATTGCAAGAAGAGCAAGTTTGCAGGATCATAAAGTTGAAGATCGTAAAAGAGGTCCATTTGCTTCTCAAACATCTATGACAGATGTATTGAAAGATATTGACAATGCAAAATTAAAGCCAGTTGCTAGGTAAATTATTTATGTTTTTATATTGTTACTGCAATTGGTATATTGTCTTGCTTTTTAAATGTTATTATACATATTTTTTTAATTTGCCGTTATGCTCATTTCCTTAGATCACCTGGAGGACGACCTCTTTGCATAAAACGAGACAATAGTCCATGTAACGATTTACAAGAAATACTTAGAAGACGTTATATTGCAATGAATTCAGCCGATAGTAGAAATTCTTCAGCTAATTTGACAATGAATGACTCTTTCTCAAGTGATGTGTGAAACTGAATGTTTTTTAATGTGCATTGTGGGCAATGAAGGTGACATATAACAATTTGGATAATATTAATGACAAGATAATATGTTTGATTAATCAGTTTGGTTACAATGTCAAAGTAATGTAAAGTTTAACACGCAGTTACAAGATCATGTAACCTTTAAAACAATTGTGTCAAGCATCTCTAAATTCATAATTATAAGTTTTCTATCACAAATTCATTTTTGAAAAGTAATACCATTTTTGTCAAAGAGTACTATTCTGATTAAAACATATATATAAACTATCCAAAGATAACATACTGTATATTGGCACTGATAAAAACATTGGGTTGTAGACAGATACAAAAAGTTAGATAAGGTATTTTTAAATTTTCATAAGATAAAGATCTAATTACTTTTTCTTTTAATGCAAACATATAGAACATGTAGTATTTTATTGAAGTTATGGAAAAAGATTATTGAAATCTATGTATCACATTTTATATACTGAAAATTTATATTTTTTTACTAATTTAAACAGTTACATAGTAAAGACAAGCGTAAATAAATAAACTGGGTTTAAAGTTAAGATTGAATCTAGAGTTTATTGGACTTCTATTTTTAAGAAGCTGTGGTCAACTGTTTGCCATTCTATTTTTGTACATTTACGTTTATGTAACTATGAATGTTATTTCAGAATTTCTTTTATAACATTTAGAATATAATAGTAAAAATAAGAATTTACTTAATTTATTTTCACAATATTTTAAAATGTTTTAAAGTATTAATAAATTTTAAAGCAATTTAACAGAATACATATTTGAGCTAGTTGATGTTTTATATAATATACTAAAATAATTATTGCATAAGTAATTATAATTTTAATTTACAAAATTATTTGGTAAGGAACAATTGTTAAACGCGCGTTGTGTAAATAGATATATTCAAAATTTTTTTGTAAAATCCAATTCTTAAATTATTAATAACGAATCAACTTCAAATAGATTATATATAGAATAATAGTTCTATATTTGAGCTTTATAAAAAAATTATAAATTATAGAATTTTTAGCTAGAAATGCAGGTACAGTTTGCAACCCAATATTAGTTAGAATTAACTTATATTTTTTAAGGAAAACCACATTGAAGCTCCACTGTAGTAGAAAGAAAAATATAGATTTTAATTTTGATTCAAATTGCAGCTGCTTAGGCATTGTGCAATAGAGCCATGTCATTTGAAATTAGGTTTATTGAAAATTATTGATCCAATTTCCTAGATGAGGCTATTGTGATATTAAAGTCATTTAATGACTTTATATGTTAGGTCGTGCCATAGAAAGCTGTATGAATATTCTCAATAGGTAAAAACATTAGCACATGTTTGTTAATATAATGGATAGGACAATTAATAATATCATTTATTTTATGAAATATGTTTTCATAATTGTAAATGAATGAACACTTAATAGTATGTGCACACATAATAACAACGCATAATGAAAATTACGAACTTTGTCTTTGATATCATATTCTTGAAATATCACTGTGTGATAAAGTTTCTTCAACTTACAGGTTACTCTTATAAAGAATTTAAAAGCTATTTCATTATACAAGGATTACAGTGACTACTAATTGATTCTAGTTAAAAATATTTTCAAAGTCTTTATATTCTTTATAAGAGTGTCAAAAAGTTCATGTTTTTGACTATTTTCTGATATGAATGTGTGTAAGAAATGTAATTCTCAGTTGGAAAGAACATCATAATAAATTTTGGAGACTGAGTGTACTGTAATGATATTACAATTGTATGGAAGATCTGTTTTATACATGAAGCTTTTATTAATGATTGGAAAATAAATGTTATTGTTAAATAATAAATTGTGTATTTCTTCCTATATGTATTTCCTTCTATACATACTTTACCCATAAAAAATAATTTATTGTATATTTAATGTTTCTACAAAATGAATTTAATGCATATTCCATTGATCTATTAATAATGTTATTATAATGCTGTTTTATTCTATTTATGTGAAGAAAATAATATTCTTTGTACTATTGCTTCAGGCAGTAGTAAAAATAATATTAAGAGAAAGACTGTCAAAATTATTATTAAATCTACCATTGAAAGTTCTAATATGTTTAATTATTTGAATATTTAATCCGCAATTTAAATTAAGTTTGCATTATACAAAAGTATAGGGATTCATCTAAATATAATATTATTTTAATTAGATAATAAAACAATGACAGCAAGTTTGATGTAGTTAAAAATAGTGTTAAATATTAATATCAAGATGATTTTGATATTAAATTTTATATCTATAATATTATAATTTTGACTCCGTTCTTAAAAAAAGAATACACTTATTATGTTTTTAAAATAGATAAAATACATTTGATCCAATTGATAATTATTCGATTAAATACATTCAATAACATATAGATACAATGTATATTAAACTTAATGGAAAATTGCACTTAGCTCAAGTATAAAAAATAAAAAATGTTCAATCTTTTCGTTTGCTGATAGAGTGATATTTCTTAAATACGTTAATTGTTCAGTAATTGTTAGTTAACAGAGACGTCTTTCTGTTTCGTACATTAAATCATTTTCAGCTTTTAATAACCCCCTACAAACTTTGGCATCACAATGAAGATTTATTATACAATTTCCTATGGTCTGTTGAGTTTACTACAATATTACCTAACAATAATTGCTGTCTTCGTTGATTTTATTGCCAGTTACTATTGATAGTTATTTCAAACTTTTGATAATATCATATAAGAGTATAAAGGACCGGGAGAAGGGGTCTTTTAATGAGTTTTACGAACGAAGGGTGTGAGAGAATTTCCTTATATAAAGCTGCCCCAAAGGATCATGGTTAATAGTATCTTGAATTCGCAACATTGAACTCCTCGTGATACTTTCGATTATTGCGACGTTACAGAGAGCTGTTGAGGTAACATTTGTATTATCATTTTTAAGGTAAATGTTTTTACAGTTTCTAATGTAATATTATTCTGAATTATTTACTTCGATGTTTTAAGAGAATGAATTTTAATACAATTTTATATTAAATTAACATTTGAAAGGAATAAAACATTATTACTTTCTTTTGTAGAAATCGAATACCTCAATTTCAAAATATTGTTTGAGATATCACAAATTGCTTTACTATTTATATACATAAATTGAAAGCTTATTTTTGTTTATTAATATCTGTTTCAATTGTCACAAAATCTGAAAAACATGTTTTTAAATACATTATTTTTTGATTGAAATTATTTTGTAATACGAAGAGATGACTACTTATTAACGAATATTATGTAATACAATGTAATGAAAAAATATCACGAAGACAAATAAATTACTTATTTTAGTAAAAACAAATAAATTGTGCGATAAATATATCGTTGAAAAATAAGCGAAGTAACATGAAAATGAATATTGGCTAACCTAGGGTTGTTTAAAACTGTTTGCATGATTATTCATGTATAGTATTATGATCACATAAAGACTGTCTTATAAAATAATAAATATACTAGAATTTCAAGTTTCCAATTCTTTACAAGTATAGAGGAGAATAAACAAAACTGAATTATGTATAGTAAAGTATAAAATGAACGTTGTATTAATATTTCAATACAATTCACATTTTTACTTTGAGCTGAATAGCAAGTGTCACTAAATCTTTATAGATTATTAAGGACCTATCATTCTCGTATAAAACGCTGTATATCTTTCGTTTTTATTTGTGAATTATTTTAATCTAATCATTTGTTTAATAACTAAGTCGATTGTTTGCAATTATTGTATCTATTTTAATTACTTAAAGAAATTTTTGATAATTTTAAATATATAATTCGTTTTATGGATTACTTAGTCGATATACTAATTAGTTAAAATATGTCTAGCTTTTATTATTACAATGCAAAATGTAATTAGTTTTTCTTATCAGTTCTCATTCTTTACTTATGTTTACATAGAAAACAGATATCTAACGAACAATTTTATAAAGTATAAAAAGCGCTAATATACTGAAATAAAATGTATTATAATATATATTAGATATAGACATATACGATTGTTATTAATTATTCAAAAACGACAACTTATTACTTTATGCAAATAAATCGTTTTGAATATAAATATTTACGTTTCTTCTCTCTCTAGATGAACAAATTGATAAATTCGATATGAATTTGTTGCAAAGTATTTTTCACGGCTTACCAAAATACTGCCTTATTTATTTCTAACGTAAAGTACATAAAACCTAAATTGCAATGATATAAAGTGTCTTATATTGTACTTCTATCGCATAGCAAATGAAACACCTTGACATTTGGCAATCTGTTTAGTCTACGCTCTATCTATAATAAGATTTGGTTTGTAAGCCCTCTATTTTCGTGTTTGTGTAGTGGACTGTATTATCATTATTATTTCGTTCATATCGGTCATTCAGTTTCTACATTCTACATTTCTACGAAACTGTATGAAAGGAGGATGTTAAAAAAAGGCAATTTTTGGCATCGCCTGGAAATGAAAAATTCCTTTATCACTTTGCCGAGAAACGATGGGAAAGTTGCCAAAAATGAATCGAAATATGTGAAAATGTGACTGATCAAATACAGGGTGTCCCAGCAACGATAGTATAACCAAGAATACATGAGAATACACGAAAAAACAAATCGAAAATGAAGAATAACATTTTTTCAGTCGAGAAAATCGACTTTGGATATCCACCGAATACGCTGATATACTGATGGTCCATCTGTAATAACCAAAGCTAAGTACATGCGTACTCGGTGTATATTCAAAGTCAGTATGATTAGTTTCATTTTCACATATTTCTCAATTTTGACAACTTTCCCATCGTTTCTTCGCAAAATGATAAAGGAATTTTTTGTTCTTTGGAAAATGCTCTTAAAAGTCCCGAAGAAATTTTTCATTTCCAAAAATGTCATCGATGCCTTTTTTAACATCCTTCTTTTCACTTCCAATAATGATGAAGGGAAATTTTTAAAGATGGCGTAACAGTACTAAATTACTGTGTATATCAAAACAACTGTACATATTATTCAAATTAAATCACTATAAAGTTGAACGAAAGTAGAACTATATAGAATATAAACGATTTCGTTACAATTTCGTTTCTTGGATTTTCTACTTATTAAAGTTTAATATTATACTTTTCGATCAAATTGAATTTTTAAATTGTGCAAAATTAACGGACGTTATTTGGAGATACCTCATTCCTAGCTAGAAAAGGAAAAATAAGAAAGTGCATAATTAAAGAAATTAGAGCATGTTTCTCGTAAAGCAAATAATTCTACGAACCGCGTGCGGATAATGAAGACATCGATGTACAAAATAATACGTAATAAGTACACGTTGATTGAGGCAAAACGAGCGAGGTTAATGATAGTCGAAACAATAAACTGCACGCAAGTGTAACAAGGAAGAATTTTCAATTAAGTCAAAGAGACATGGTAGCACGTTGATTATTGAAGAAATATAAAGAAATAAAACGCTAGTGCATAAAAAATGAAAATTATTTACCAAATACGGAAACGTGTATAAGGAGTACATTAGACGTAATTTTCCCTAACGTTAATTACGTTCAAATAGTTACAAATATAACTAGAAATAGCTAAGAAGTTAACTATTATTAGGTTATTGAATTAGAATTAAATTAGACATAATTAATAGGATAATACTTTTTTAATTAAGAGTACGAAATTATAGTTTAATTAGAACTGTGTTTAGGGCATTGATCGTTAATTTGAAGGAAGATGTAAATTTAGATAGCTGATTTTTCGATTTATCGAATAAAAATTTATTTCCAATTGGCAGATACATTTTGTTAGCTTTGTGAATAATCTCTATTTCGTTCTAATTTTATTTTTAAAATATCAATTTAAATAATTCTTCTTCCTCTAAGGTTTTATTTATTCAATATTCATAATTGCTAATTTCAAAAATAACTAAGAGAAGCAACTTAATCGAATGGAGAATTTTGGTTGAGATGGTGACAAAATTTCGAAGTTACTCGATCGGTGTTTGCTTCTACATGAAAGTAACAACCTCGTTTCCCGAAGTACTCACATATAAGGGGGTTCGAATCTGTTTCGAACTAAGTTCTAAGTTCGGGTTTTCTCGAAAATATTGTTCCCTATTTATCGAAATTCCTTTAGTCAAATATTAATCGATCAATGTCAGAACCTATAACACAAGTGAGGTATTGCGTCTGTCACTTGTCGTAAGTGACCTAAAGAACATAATATTCTATTAACTGGTTGAATTTTTCAAAGGTATTAGGTATTAGAAAGGAAGTCCATTCCTATTATTGCCCAGGTTCAAATAATACGAAACAAAGAGACGTGTTTCGCGGTTCTTCGATGACACGCTCGGAAATGGCTCGTCTCTATGCGACAGAGATGCTGGTCACGTCTCTTATCCATGGGACACTTAGTAGCACTTACTCTTATCTTAATGACCGGGGACGCGCGTAGCGTTAATGGTTCCTTTAAAATTAGCACGTGAAAACGTACGAGGGTACTCTAAAATTTTTCGAAAAAACCTCACGTGATGCCGTGTGTACGCATGCTGTCAGTGAACGCGGGAGATAAATGTCCGGTTTTTCTTCGTTTTCTTTCCTTCATCGAGCCCGCGATTCTGGAGCGTTCCGTAAAAAGGGACGAGCTGAAAATGAGGCGGCCATTAAGCGGTTTCGGCTGGGACGAGTGAATTTTAAGTAAATGAATCTTAACATTCGTGAAACATTCGCCGGAAGGTCTTCTTTTTCTTTTCACTGCTTTTTATGAGCCCGGCAGGGATCGAGGAATCTGCGAGTTAATTTGCAGAATGGATGGAATCGATTTGCTCGTACGCAGAAGTTGTCGAAATTTTCGAGACTTCCGCTGCTGCGCGTAAGTTTAATCGCAACTACGAAAATTGAGCGCGATGGAAGCCAAGTAAGTTACATGATCATTTTAGTGTTAATCAGGGTTTCGAGAATTCGGGACACTTCTTTGCCAACGACTTAGGAAAATGTAACGCAAGCTTCGCGAATCTTTTATATTAGTTAATTAATTATAAAATTAAATCTTATAAATTCTATAAAATTCTAGAACTATTACGCAAAAATGGCGAAAATTCGAGGAGATAAACTACTGTATCTGGGTATCTGAATATTTTATGTTAGTTGATCAAATAGGATTTTGTGAAAAGTTTTAAGATCAGAGAGTTATTACTTGTAAGATGAGTCTTATGTGGAAGTTTAAAATTCGGAAAGATAAATTGTACGTTATCTGAATATATTGTACCCGTTAATTAAACAGTATATCGAGAAATATTTCACAATTCGACGAGATAAATTACATAATATCTAGGCATTTTGTATTATCGAAATTGATTAGGTTCTTGCGAAAAATTCTGAAATTTGGAAAGATAAATTTTAAATTATTTGAAAGTTACACAGTAAAAATCTTCGAACACTTCGACGTTTCAAGATAAATATTACGAACTATTCGTTAAACGAACAAATTAGGATTTAAACGAAGATATCACAGTGGAGTTACCACGCGCGTTTTGCGATTAAATTTCTATGAAATCGGAGCTGTCATGCGCACACGATCATGCCGCCATTATGCTCCGTTAGAACGCCGCGAAAATTGCGCTGAGAAATTACACAATTGCCGTATTGTTTCATATAATTCATCGTTGCATCATGCAAAATATCATGTTCGATTGTACATCATTGCTCAAGAACCAGGCATTTTCTACTTATATTTCCTTGATGCTGTAAAAACACGCTCGAGACATCATAAAGGGTAGTTTACAATCCAATTGGCAATCGTTTGTGGAAAGATGGAAAAACTGTGGAAGAAAGTAATTCCATCCATTTTAATGCAAAAGTTACAAAAGTCTACGAATTTTTATATACAGGGTGTCCCATTTAAGTTGACACAATTTTTAATATCTGACTATATTTAACTGTATTTAACTATATTTAATTTTTAATAGTTTTAGCTACAAAACACAAAAATACTAAATATTAAAAAGCGAACTAAAATACCTTTTTAAATTACTTATTTATCAGTTTTTTTGCCGTGTCAACTTAAATGGGATGCTCTGGAATAAATGAAGCAGAACTACAGATCAATTTTTCAGATGCTTCGAAGTGTACCAATTAAAGAGAAAGAAACATCGTTGCGACGATAAAGTGGAGAACAACTTCTGATAACCTGCTAAAGACAAGAAATACCAAGTTTTATATATTATCCCTTATTTCGTTTTCTCCCATAAACCGTGAATATTAGAAGCGATCCGAAACTCTTGAATGGTGGTGCAACATTTTCAGTTGGCAGCTAATTTTCTTTTCACCCGTGTTACGAGCTGCAGTTGCACCCGTTGCGTTGTTAAAATAAATTACGTAAAAGTAAAACAGGTGACCGAGGTACCGAACAGCCTAGTCTATGGGATCTTAAATTGTCGGACATCGAACGGATCGTTGATCCAACAAGTCATCCGTGACACTCGAACAGTGCCATTGTTTTACGTTTGCACTCGCTGCACATTGCGAGTTAGAGCTGTCCTTTTCGCTCGGTTGGTGGATGAAAAAGGCACGGATTCAAATCAGCCGACGAGAAATAGGCCTGATCGGGATCTGCAATACGCTTTTGTCTCGATTTATGGCATAACAGTACATGGTACGCGCGATACCAATTTCCATCGCTCGGATTAAATCCACAGTGGCTTCTGCATAACTTCGGAGCGGTGTCGATTATCTGCTTGCAGTTCAACCAGCCAGCAATCTTTGTTGTATTTATTTTATAAATTCCTCAATTCTTCAGTAGATCTCTGGAAGATCGATACGGTCATTACTCTTACTTTTAACCCCTTCCCGAACGATTTAGCTCGACAAAATCCGGGCCGAAACAGTAGGCGTCAACGCGCGGATCAGACTGATGTTCGAAATCAGTTGCAATACGAGTCGAAATGTAAATACGTGTGATATAGTCAGTTTTATTCGACTGTTGTTTAGTTGACAGTTTTATTCGATTGCGATTCGACTGCTGTGGAAGTAAATTCTAATCCTTTTTCCTTTTATAAATATTATAAATATATTTTATGTTAGATGACAGTTTTAAAACTATATTTAGAAAAATGTTCTGTTTACGAGTCCGGCTCGTGATATTCATGTTTGGGCCAAAATCTTCATCACGAGTCAGACTCGTCAAAATACAGGAAGGGGTTAATTTTTGTAAATCGTGGTAGTGGATACTTGGTATTGTTTCAACTTCTATGGTTAGGGTTAAATTCGTTTAAATTAAGTTTAATTATTTATTAGATCCACATTTCGACAAATTCTAATTCTTTGCGAGGTTCAATTCCTTGGATGTTAGATATATCCGTATATACTAAAAATAATAGAATATCTTAGAATATCTTGTTGAAAAATTAATTAATAAATTGATCTCGTAATTAATGAATTGACTGTCAAGAATGAAAATATAACGATATTTTGAAAGTATCGGAAATTCTTCCTTTCTAAGGATAAAATATTTTTCCACCATATTAACAATCGTGTCTTTTAATTTTTACAGATGGTTAACTCTCGGTTTGTTGTCTTGTTCGTCTTGTCGCTGACCATAACATCGGTTATGTGTCAAAGCTTCCAGTACAGCCATGGCTGGACGAATGGAAAAAGATCCACGTCGCCCATACTGGAAGATTTCGTGAATTCTGGCAGCAAAAACGTGGGTCAATTAGACAATGTTCTTGTTAATTGCGAACTGCAGAAGCTGAGATTATTGCTTCAAGGAAATATTAACAACCAAGTAAGTAATGCTGCAAAATGACAAGGTTCTGCAACGAATCTACCTATGACATACTAAATTAAATATTCTGACTGTGAAGCTTAAGAATCATCAATGCCTTTAAAATTGACAAATTTCAATTTATTTTAAATAAATTTATATATTTAAATTCGTAACCATATGTTAATTATATGCTAATTACATGTTACATATTATTTAAAGATTGTAAAAATTTAATTAGTTCGTTCTACTAATGAAAATGTTTGCATTTTTCAGCTGCTTCAATTGCCGTGCGAGCTGCTTAACTCACCGAAAAGGAGCTTCTCTGAAAATATGGTTAACGACCACTTTCACAGACAGCCCACTCTCGCCAATAACAATTATTAGTATTATGCTTTTGGTAGCGAAAGCTTTGGATTAATTGCGGATTACGTGTCATCAAATAAATAGCAACTTCAATGAAAGTTTTATTGGCTCTTTTAACCACTTCTATCCTAACATTTTAATATTCTCAATCCTTTAAGTCTTTCATTTAATTTTAAAAGTCTACACTGTGTGTTTAATTATTTTCAAGCGATGACGAGAGTATTCGTGAAAACGGAGTAATCGCGTCATGCTATAAAATTGAAAAGAATAGCGTATTAAAAAGATTACACGATAAAGAAGAAATGCTAGTCATTTTTTCGAAAAATTTATATTTCTATCGCTTGTAGATTCTTTAATACCATTCGTTGAATATACTCGACGTGAATAAAAAAAGAGTTAATTAAAAGGAGGACCAATAAATAATTATTAATATTTATATATAATCACTAATAATAACCAAAACATAAAATATAAATATAATCACTAATTAATAATCAAAATTATTTATAACATTTCTCAAATGAATTATTTTCCATTTTCCTATTTTTCAGGTAAATTTCAAGCTTAACAGCTTTTACGAAGCGGTAGAACGATGAAAACAGTATGTACGTGGAATGTCATTGAACCTTTTCGCGACACCTTATCACTATATTCGCCATCGCCAATCAAGGCGACTCAAAACTCTTTTTCCGCAAATCACTTCTGACAAATTTATCACGCTTTGACGAATTCTAAATTTAACATCCGAATACGAGGCGCAAGAAGAACGATGAAAATGTCAGCGAACTTTTCGCCACTTTTCCTCCGCTTTTCCTTCATTTACGGTATAACGCGTGTCCTCGGCATGATTTCCATCCGTTTCTATTTCCGGCTTGCTCGATTACAGCGAATACGTTCCTATCGTCCATTCCGATCAATTATTCAATCACGTGTATAGTTCGCCTCCGCCACGGAATACGTTGGATTTAAAGCGTAATCGTTCATCAATCATGGTTAACGGGCAAATTGTTTTTATCGGGCGCCAGCATATCTAGATTTGTATTAATTATCGAGTTTTCCGCGCGGGCATCAGCGTGCCCATCCAGTTTTCATCGGGTCCATCGGAACAGTTAATTAAGTTTTCGCTGTCCTAATTGGACAGACGGTCAATAGGATAGATCGCGGCGGCCTGTACTGCACGCCGTAGGGGATTTTGTCTGTCAACGGAAGATGGAGTGAAACCCTGGCGAATAGAGACACCTGCTGAGTCCATGGATTATCCCTACGGACAACTTATCCTCCAACTGCAATTCGCCGGCTGAATTCGGAGACTTTCTGTTTTCGCTGCGCTCCACCGATGAGCATCGTCATTGGGCAAAAGGGAATCGTGGGTCTTAATGTTAGCAATAATGGAAGGGCGGCAGATTTCTCTTTTGTTTTATTGAAAACGTTTTGGTGTTAAATCAGCGTAGACCAGCTATATTTAACTTATTTATTCTTCTTATAGAACTTTAATTATTGTTGAATATCCATTCTATTTTTAACCCTCAATTGCCATTTAATTTGATTCTAAAGATCGATGTTAATTAATATACCACATTTAAAATTACCCAACGATGCGTGGAATGTCGAAATAAAATAATACGTCTTAATTTGTATACGATTTCTTATTTACAGTTTTAAAAATATCATCGACTTTATGACAGAAAGTCTTCGAATTATTATTTTTCTGTAACGAAAAAATCGCCGAGTGTAAAGGGTTAAAAGTAGAGCGCGGGAAATTATAGTGGAAACCTTGATTGTGCTCATTTTACATTTAATTAGTATGTGTTTTGTATAATTTATAACGCGAGTTAAATTATAATCATGTAGAACCTATATCAAATTTACAATACTGGAAAACAAGATGGAAGAATACAATCAAACTATATGTCACAATTGGAAGCACCTGAAGAAAATTAAGAATGCAAACATCGAAACGAACGTCACGAAAATTGGTAATCATAAATTTCCACAATTTTCTTTCAAAGCCTGCCATCAAATTATAGAATACGAGCTCGAGTTACAGGAAAAGGAGAGTAGCAAAACTTAACTGAAGCTACCCGAAGAAAATTCAGAATGCAAAAATTGAAACCAACATCATGCATATTGAAATCCCGTTATCAACCACTTCCATCGCAACGTAACCACTATGGATACAACTGTTTCCAAGACCACCAGTGGTCGAGGGAAAGAAGTAATCGATATCGTTCGAAATTGTTTACTCGATCGGTGTTAATCGGGAATTCGCAGGTAATTTTCGAGCGCGAGCCAGCGATGCAATTAATAAAATGCATGGCTAATTATATATGCAAGAATAATGGCGGTTCACGTGCGAGCGTTCACATTAGAGACAAGAGGAGCACTCACGGTTATTAGTTGATAGCGTCAGGACGCGTATAACTATCATGCACGGGCAATGCACTTAAAACTTGGCTGTTAATCAGAAACCAATTACGGGAGGCGGGTCGAAATGAGTTTAATCGCATTAAATATTAAAGCATCGTCACCGTGCCATAGGGACTGGGTGTACCCAGCAGCCATAGGTGACCCTCTTCCTCCAGCCAGTCATGGAGCAACCACACACCGCCACGTGCCCATACGAAACGCTTTTCTCTCTTAATACCCTCGGGAGTAACCCAAGAACCCTACGCCAATGTCCTTTATAGGGTGGTGCTTGGCGTGCCTGCAATACGCATGCACGACCGCTGCATTCGCTGATAATGTATCCTTATACGCGTGCGTGTCCGTGTGTCTTCGTAGCTTTGTACATCCACGAGTGTGTGAAATTTTATTTCGAACGAAATTTGAAGAAAACGCGATTGAACGAGCTTCCACGAATTTTCATTTCAAATACTTTAAACGCTAATTCTTGCATCGGTATTCGAGAAATCGGATACCATTTTCCGCATTTTCGTTTAATACCTTATATTTCCAATAAAATGTTTTAAGATTTAATATTCGGGTAGATTTTTGGTATATTTCGCATGGATATTTGCTTGAATTATGTTTTTATGGATTGTAAGAGTTTTGGAAATTATATTTTAGTGTATAGTAATTTATCGGTTGCACATTGAGAGTAAATTTTACTCAATTAACAGTTTTCTGTATTTACACACGTTGACAGGTGAGTATTGTAAACGAGTGGTGCCTATTTGAGCTAGGAGATTAACATGTATGTCCTGAACGCATTACGCGATTTTTAAGCGAGCATAAATGTAGGAGGCATCAGCCAAGAGTAAGTGCATCGCTTCGTTGCAGTTGTTTTTCCTTGAAGAAGGATAAGCTTGGCATTCCAGGAGATATTATTTTTCTGGATTACATAAACGACGTTCAGCTCGTTTAATTTAATTAAATATCTGCTTCACGATTGGGAAATTTATTATCTGCAAGTTTGTGCAATTTATTACCTCATCGTGAAAATTTTTGTTAATTAACAAAATTATAATCGATTACCTATCCTTTTTTAAAAAAGGCTCATAATCGATTCCTATATTTAGTGTATTTGTTCCATCTGTAATCTCATTGATTATCGATTCTTGGAAATTTCTGTTTCACCTAATTTTACGGCCAGAATGCCCTCAATTATTTTATACTAACAACAACAAAGAAAGAGTTTCGAATCCAATTTATTCCAATATTCTTCAACCTTTCCATTACACTGGTACTTGTTTTTCAAGAAATTAGTTATTAGTTGCCATATAGACTTGTTAATAATCAATAATTGATAATTAACACGATTAGAAAATTGTTTTAATTATCGTGTATTACGAATGGGCCATTATCCTGCTTTGAGAAAAAACATTCAAGTTTTTCAAAAAATAATACGATGATACATACGATATTTGCGGTATGTTCATCGAAATACAGAAGGTTTAGCGGAAGAAACCCTAAAGTCTGTCATAAAAGGCTAAATCGACGCATATCAAAGCTTCCTATTTAATAAATAAATGGCTCCTTCGACTGATATTATAGGCTACTTTCGAATATTTTTTCGTGACTAATGAATGGTGCATATCGTTGAATTCTTTTCTAATTTTACTGTTATAATCTCCACACTTCCTTCTATCTATCTCTTGTTCTTTCTAATATTTCAATTTAACTCGTCAACTTATTTTATTTTTAAATTAGACTAATATATTTTTCTAAGAGAAACGTAATATGTTAAACATATTCAATGACAGGACCAAAAATCACGCTCGCGTAATCTACTCCAAGCTGCTTTCGCGATTTCTAATCGCGAGCAGGTCGATTAAAAACGCTGGTGCGTTCACAGGTTCGCAAAAGAGTCCTCTGATAGCACTTGCGTCCAGATTTCTGTCCCGTGTCGCGTGCATATTTCACGCGGGCCTGTTACGCGGATGGTTGGCCGGAAATCCGGGATAATATTTCACCGGGACATCGTGTCAAGCGTTACGAATTTTAAACCCGCGCTTAGACCGCGCCGCAGAAACGGATATCAGCTGTGGAAGGTGGACGTTGCAACAGCTCGAGTATAAATACATAAAATCGGGCAATCATCCTAAATGGGCCGCCTCTTGGCGCGAGGAACGTCGTCTTTTTCAACCTGTCGTCTGTCGTCTGTCGTTTGTCGCGCGACAAGGGAGACTTCGCGGTGCCGGCACGAAAAAGCGCGAAACAACGGGAAAAATCGTTTGACGAGCGAAATTCCGAACTGATATCATGCTCGTTTGTTGCTTTTATTATAATACTTTCGCGTTGAATGGATTCTTTCGCGAGAATTTGATCACGAAGGATGATGTCATTGGTTCTTTAACCCTTTCACGAGTATGGTCGTGCAGTCGAAGAATTTTGGAAATAATATCTTGCAAAGGGCATGACATACGTAATAGGAAGCAAAAATTTTCAAGATTATACATATAAATAAATAAAATGTAATATATATAAATGTATAAAATGTATAACTAAATATATATAAATAAAATGTAATAAGAAAAAATTTTCAAGATTATATATATAAATAGAATTAGAAAACAATTCTA